CTCTGGACCCTCTCCAACAGCTCCCTGTCTTTCTTGTACTGGGGGCTCCAGACCTGGATGCAGTGCTGCAGGTGGGGCCTCACAAGAGCAGAGTAGAGGGGAACAATCACCTCTCTGTCCCTGCTGGCCACCCCTCTGCTGATGGAGCCCAGGAAACCATTTGCCTTCCGAGCCACAAGGGCACGCTGCTGGCTCATGTTCAGCTTTTCATCCATCAGGACCCCCAGGGCTGCTCTCAAGGACCTGCTCCTTCCAGTCTGTACGGATGCCTGGCATCTTCAGCTTCCATCCATCACTTGTGCTACACACGGAAAGCTCTCCCGGGCAGCACGCTGCCATTCAGTGCTTCCCCCCATCCTTCCAGGAGAGAGCCGACTCTTCCCAGCAGAGCAGGTGAGGCAGAGCAGGGCAGAGCGCCGAAGCCTTTCCTCATACAACAGCTCTGCGAGAGCAAACACAGAAGGCGGAGCTCCTTCCCACCAAAGCCGACCCCTTCCATTCCGTGCTGCAGCTTCCCCACGCGCTCAGCTTCGGGTCTCTGCTTCAGGGAGGTGAGCTGTGCACGCTGCCCGTGGCCAGCAGATCGAGCCGAGGTGATCCTGCCCCTCTGCTCTGCCCTGCTTTTACAGGGCCGCGTTTACAACGCTGTGTCCAGATCTGGGCTCCCCGGTTCAAGACAGACAGGGCTCTGCTAGAAGGAGGGGGGCCAAAATATAAATCTCTGCAAACCCTTGGCGGATGTGCCGTGAATCAGCGGGCGATGCGGGGATGAGAACCCAAAACCAACCCGTAACCGCAACCACAACCCAACCCCTACCGCTACCCGAAACCCCCGCCCAGCTCCGCCCCGTCGGCGGTCGGGCGTCTCGTCGGGGCTCCGCCTGGGGCCGCGTCGGCAGCGATCGGAGCGAGGCGGAGCAGCGGCCCGGGGCGGGGGCTGGGATTCGGGGCTGCGGCCTCTCGTCGCCGTGCGGAAGGGATCTTCTGCCCGGATCCCGGTTAGGGAACGGCAGAGCGGCCATCTCTTCGGTGCCGGGACCGCGCTGCGCTGAGGAGCGGTGCGGGAGGTGATCCCGAAGCCGATGGCCGAGCGCGTTTCCTTTCGGCCAAACGGCGGATCCGTTCTGCATCCGTGGGACGAGACGGCTGTGTCCATCTTCCGAGGTCTGGGAAGGGGGTTTGCGTCTTTAGGGCGAGATCCCTTAATTGGAAGTTTACGGTAGGTCGGTGCGGTATTTCGTATCTTTAAGGAGTGAATCTGTTGGTAATTTAGAGCGTGTGCGGCGTAAACAGCTGCGAGTCACAGGCAGCAGCTCTTCGTCTCCAAACCCACGGTCGCTGCAGAAATCCCACCCCGCAGCAGAAATGGGGGATGCGACCCCACAGTGCCGCAGCAGAAATGGGGGATGGTGGCACACGGGTGATCTCTGGCATTAAACGTCTGCAGGCGCTCTGCAGGATGCACGCATCGCAGCCTCCCTGTTTCTGCCAGGGCTGGGAATAACAGTGGAACCGAAGGAACGGGTGCCCAAGTCGTTTGTTTACAGCATTCAAAGCCCTGCGTGGTGGCTGCAGGGCGAGTGGCTGACGTGCGTTTCTTCCTGGAAAGCTAGGAATCAGAATTGGCCATTTGCAGCACAGCGTTTTGTTCTGCTTCCATCGCTGACCTCAACCCTTTGCTGTCTGAGCCGCACGCTCAGCTTTCCAGAACCCAGTTAGGTTCAGGTTAAACTTTGTGCTTCTTTATTTCTTGAAAAGACTGCCAAATGTCCTTAAAGTCCAACAGGAGTTATAGTATATATATATAGAATATAGAATATATAGTATGGGGGGTCACTATTCACTTACTGATGCTACTTTTCCTTGGCAGGCAGTCCCAACGCCTTGCAGCCACTATTTGTTCCTCCTTCAGGCCTTGCCATCCCTCTGGGAGTTGAAGGAGCTGGAAGTGCTTTCCTTTCCTTGCTGGCACTGTCTGTGGAGGGACTAAAATAGCCTTCTTTTCTTCACTGTTATCTCGTTTCTGGTGTGCTACACTTGCACTGAATACAACACCAGTGGGCTGATTATGAATTGTGACTCTGGGATTGCCAAGGACTAATGAGTTTTGGTTTTTTTTCCATGATGCATTACTCTGCTTTTGGAAATTTGTTTACAATTCTTTAGAGTTTTTTTCTTTTCCTTTAATTTCTGCTCCCTGTTCCTGTTTGTTTCCGTTCTCCCTTGCTTCATATGTAACATCCAGTCTTGCCATTGTGCATTAAACACCCTTCCACCTTTTTATCCTTTTACAGCCCCTAATGATCTCTTGTTTCTCAGTTGTAACAATTGCCTTGAGCCCATTCACGTAGGTGTTTGGGACTGTGGTTCAGTCCATGCCTCTTGTAATCGGCTGGTATCCCTGGTTGCCGTTGTGCAGAATTCACCAGTTTCTAATGGATGGATCCTACTGCAATGTATACTTTTAGGGGAGAAGCAGCAGTGTATCGGTTGATAGAACAAGCTGTGGTGGTATAACAGTGATGTGACAAGATTGGAGATGGGTGCAGTGCTGCTGGCCTGAGTCCCAGGTGGCTTTTTACCCTCAACCCTTCAGATGGGATGGGGAGGGCTGGTCTTGGACAGGCACTGCTGCGCTCCCTCACACCTCCCCTGCCATTTCTCTTGTCCCAGCAGGCTCCTGTGAAACTTCTGCCTTTCACCTGTCATCATCCCTGACGCATTCTCTGCAGGAGAGCAACAAATGGCCACAGTGCATCCATCTCAGGTAGGGGCATTGGGAAGCACGCAGGAAGGGCTGTAGGGTGAGGGATGTGAATGCATGGGGAGAGCCTTCAGCCAGTATTTGTGTGCTGGGGACAGAGAAGCCGCTGGGACTGGAGTTTCTCTCCTCTGCCAGCTGCTTCCCTGGGCCATGGCTGTTCCCAGCAAGGAGCCCCTATTTGCAGGAGCCCGTGAGCTTTGCAGATGTGGCCACGTATTTCAGCAGGGAGGAGTGGGCGCTGCTGGACCCTGTGCAGAGGGTGCTGTACCAGGATGTGATGCTGGAGACCTACGAGTGCGTGGGCTTTGCTGCCTTTCCTTCTCGTTAGGGCTCCTTAGGCTGTGCAGAATGAGCCTCTGCAGTCAGGGCTTAGAATAATTGCAATGCAGTTACTGATGGATTCACGTAACAGCACAACAAATGAAACGTAAGTAAGTTTCACATGAATTTCGGAAGGGATTAGTGTGCTCAGCACTGTGAGAAATGACCCAGAGCCACTGCTGGCCAGCAGGTATCAGGCAGGAGGAGTTGGATCAGCTCCTGCAACCTGTCTTTGTCTGGCTGCATTTATTTACAATTCTTTAGAGTTATTTTCCTTTAATTTCTGCTCCCTGTTCCTGTTTGTTTCTGTTCTCCCTTGCTTCGTATGCAACGTCCAGTCTTGCCATTGTGCATAAAACACCTTTCCACCTTTTTGTCCTTTTACAGCCCCTAATGCACTGCATGGTGCCACAAACTCCAACAACCTGCCAACTCTCTGGTTATTTATTTCCCTTTTTTACTCGTTTCCTCTGAGCTCCCGTAAGCCTTTATGAAGCCTTGGGCACTGAGCAGTTTGGATAGAAACAAAACAACCTAACGTGAACGTTGAAGAAATTATCCCTGTACAATTTTTGAAGGTGTAAAATTCACGCTGGGACCCAAAGGAAGGCAGTCTGTACCAGAGCCAGTGTCATTCTTACAGCAGTTTCAGAAGCGTGCAGGGACAGACAGACAGTGCAGGTGTTGGAAAGCAGCCGTGCCAGAATGATGGAAATGATGTTCAATGTTTGTATCACTGAAATGTCACTTCCAGCCTCCAAACCGGTGCTGATCTCCCTGCTTGAGGAAGGGAAAGACCCCTGGCTCCCAGATGTGCACGGCCTGGAGGACATGGCAGGGGACCTCAGCCCAGGTGAGCCTGTGGGGGACGGGAGGAGGTTGTGGCTGGCAGAAGCCGTCTCTGACTAGGCAGTATTTTGGCTTAATGTTTTATTTCTGGATTTCCTCCAGCATCCATCCAGGACAGGATGACAGCTCTAGAGGAGGTTCTGCAGAAGTGTGATGTGGCCAGATGGCAGCGGGGCAGTGGCTCGGTGGGAAAAGCCAGAAGGGATGTGCAGGGGAGCCTGGTGCAGGGAGAGCACCCGAAAGAGCAACAGGGAAACCCTCGGGGAGAGATTGTGGGGAACCTCCTGGACTGCAGCACGGGTCAAAAGCAGCCTGAAGATGCAAGGAGCGAGGAAGAGTGCCAGGAGAAAAGGCAGAACCCAAGTGCTGAGTGTGGGAAGCGCCTTAAAAGGAACCCCAGCATCCGCATGGGAGACATTCGCTTTAAATGCCTTGAGTGTGAAAAGAGGAACACAAAAAGCTGCAACTTGCTGATCCACCGTCAGGACCACGCGGAAGAGAGACCCTACAAGTGTCCTGAGTGTGGGAAGAGCTTCAGAAGCAGTTCGAACCTCATCCGCCACCAGCGCATCCACACGGGAGAGAGACCCTTTCAGTGCCCCGAGTGTGGGAAGAGCTTCAGAAGCAGCTCTGACCTCATTGTCCACCATCGCATCCATACGGGGGAGAGACCTTTTCAGTGTCCGGAGTGTCCAAAGAACTTCAAAAGCAGCGCTCACCTCACCTCCCACCAGCGCATCCACACGGGAGAGAGACCCTTCAAGTGCCAAGAATGCGAGAAGACCTTCAAATGCAGTTCCCACCTCATCCACCACCAGTACATCCACACAGGAGAGAGACCCTTCAAGTGCCCGGAGTGTGGGAAGAGCTTCAGCAGCAGTTCGAATCTCACCGACCACCAGCGCATCCACACAGGGGAGAGACGTTTTCAGTGCCCCGAGTGTGGGAAGAGCTTCAGCAGCAGCTCCAACGTCGTCATCCACCAGCGCATCCACACCGGAGAGAGACCCTTCCAGTGCCCCGAGTGTGGGAAGAGCTTCAAAAGCAGCTCCACCCTCATCAACCACCAGCGCATCCACACGGAGGAGAGACCCTTCCAGTGCCCCGAGTGTGGGAAGAGCTTCAAAAGCAGCTCTGACCTCATTGTCCACCTGCGCGTCCACACGGGGTATAAACCTTACAGGTGCTCAGAGTGTGGGAAGAGCTTCAAAAGGAGTTCTGAATTGAAGTGCCACCGGCGCATCCACACGGGGGAGAGACCCTTTGAGTGCTCCAAGTGTGGGAAGAGCTTCAGCAGCAGTTCCAGCCTCGGTTACCACCAGCACATCCACACAGGAGAGAGACCTTACCAGTGCTCCGAGTGTGAGAAGAGCTTCAAAACCTCTTCGTACCTCATTGTCCACCAACGAATCCACACAGGAGAGAGACCCTACCGGTGCTGTGAGTGTGGGAAGAGCTTTAGCAGCAGTTCTAAACTCAACTCCCACAAGAGGATGCACAGAGGAGGCAGTCCATAAAAGCACCCTGAGTTTGTGCGTTTCAGTTCCTGCCTCCTTACCTACCTGCACATCCTCACAAGAGACAAAGCCCCAAACTCCTTCACCTGCCAGGTGATGCGGTGCAGCCGGGACGGAGCGCTCACTGTGACGAAGAGGTGTTGCAGTGTGTGTGTGTGAACTGGGAGATCCACTGTGATTCCCAGCAGGGAATGGTGCGTGTGGCTGAGAGCAGGGAATTACAAACCCCAGCCATGTTTGGGTACCCGACCTCGGGTGCAGGGCAGATCCAACCCCTCCTGTTCCCCTCCTTATCCTGGTTATCGCTTTTGAAAATCGACTTCTGCTTTTTCTGCCTTCTCCTGTTCAGCACTCCGTTTGCTGTTGGAGAGCTGCTGTTTGGTGACATTTGACTGCTGTTACCAAGTCCGTTGACTTGGACTTGGTCTTGGACTTGGATTTGGTCATGGATGGACTTGGACTTGGTGATGGATGGACTTGGACTTGGTGATGGATGGACTTGGACTTGGTGATGGATGGACTTGGACTTGATGATGGAATCGAGTGCACCCTCAGCAATTTGCTGACGACACCAAGCTGAGTGGTGTGG